GTTGCGTTGGTAGCATTGCTGATCTGCTTTTTAAAATGCTCTTTGCTTGGCTGTCATGCTGGCTCTGTGAATTCTGGAGTCAATGACCCAGGACAAGCACGCAACAAATGGAATCACAACTACTGATCAGAAAATATTGACAACACGGGTTCAGTGTAAGAACCAGTCATCCGGTATTTAGGGGTCCGCAATGGCAGCCTTATACATCTCCTCAAAGACATTTACTGTGACTCCCCAGCATCTACTATGACCTGAACTCTGGGTTCTGGGTGGACTCTGCTGCGGGTTCTGCAGTGCTCCACGACGCTCTATTGTCATTCTGTTCTCACATTTTCTAGAGAGATTTTTTTTTAGCTCGTAGGTCTCGCGGTTAATTTTTTTCCACTCCCTCCGGCTTGTCGTAAGTGTTATGCAAAGTGATCTATTCCATTCCGCAAGGATTATATAACATGCAGAGAAGTGACATTACCAGGGGGTAATGAGCGGTGAGGCAGGGGCTGCATTGTGGGTGGAATAGGGTGTCAGCGGACAGCACAGCACCTGATACTGCTCGTGTCTGCTCATGAACTCCTGATGTGTTCTCGCCTCTCTGTGGAAATGGCTCTTGTATAAGGCAAAGTATCATTATGTGTCTTTATAACCTTAAAGAGAACCTGTCAGGATAGATACATGGGAGGTGTCCTTTTTAGATTGTTTCTAAAGCCCAGTTAAAAATCAGTCTTACAGCCACAGCCTGAATAGAAAAGCCTGTCCTCTGCCAGCAGACGCAGAGAAGGACCCTTGCTCTCTGTGGAGAAGTAGTGGTCTCTCTGCAGAGGTTTAACACACACCCTGCACAGAGAGATGAACACATCACTGCTCCTCCTTTCACTGTCCAGTCACAGGCAAGTCCAGTATGACTTGGGCTCAGAGGAAGTGGGTTGAAGGATGCCGCTCATCAGACTGACAACACTAAACATACCTGTTGTCTCGTCACAAGATAACACCGCACTAGTTACAATCTAGCTTGATCTGAGACATGTTCGGGTCCCATCTGCTCCCATCCTGGAGTGATCTCACCTTTATAATTGTATCCATATATCAAAAATAATGTAACACTAGGCTGGTCAGTCCGCTACATGTTAAAGATTAGGAAAACCTCTTCTCCTTGTGTGCAGGTCTGATGGTTAGAATACACATTATTGTGTTTATAGCAATAACTTCTGCAGTATACAATTTATGTCACTAGATGGCAGTGTGTTTTATAAGTTCTGTTATATATCTATAGTAGAGATACTCTGTTATGTTGAAAAAGGTAGAAAATAAAGCTGTGGCTTCCTTCCTGTTTTCAAGCCATGTGCAGCATGCATATCAGACTGTGTGCTTGTGTTTCTCTGCGAGGCTGTGCAAGAAGTTCCAACACTGATCCAAGAAAAAAGGCTCCTCTCCCACAATGCAATATTTGTATGTTCCGCAGTCTGCCCGTATAACGTATTTTTCTATTACATGGAAATGTTATATTTTGTGATTTTAGAAGCTCTTTATTAAAGGAGAACTATGGTCATTGTTCTGCATTCTGGTCATGTGAAGCCTTAATCACTCATAATACTGAAACAGAATTGTATCTCACATTGCTTCCCCACCCCGCCCCTATCATTCATCATTGGTGTGCCGGACATGTGATGTTAATGATATTTTTGCCAGGTTTTTGCACTCCGCAGCCTGTTAGGGGGGACGGTGACCCTTGACGTAGGATTATTTTAGACTGCGAAGTCGGCACAGGAGTAATGTCTGTCGGCAGCGCGTGAGCACGGCGCAGTTTTGGCAGCTGTAAAAAACGCAATCAATATGTTATTAGTTCTGCAGATTCTGTAGCGTTATCGGCGTGTTGGAAAATAAAAGTAATATCTGATTAGGGAACCGCTGAATCTTAAAGTGAAGGGGCTCCAACTCTGCCCTCCATATATTACATATACCGGAGCCCCTACACAGAGCGCGGCATCATTCCAAGAACGAACGCTCAAGGGACACGACGCTTTCATTACTTTAAAGCAACGTTTCATGAGAGTCACATGGAGTCTACCATCGCCGAGGTTTTCTTATGAAAGTGATAGTTGGTTAGGAGGTTAGATTGTAAACTCAAAATTCCTGATGAAGGTCAGTGCCTCAAAGTAAGTACAGAAGCCATTAGATTGGAAGGACAACCAGGTAGCAAGCACTTTTGCAGAGGGGAGGTCAACACTGGCAACCTGTCCACCCAGCTTAAAAGGACCTGTGGCTATGTCCATTATTGGCAGAGGACAGGTTCACTTTAAGGCGAGGACATTTATCATTCTCCAAGTGACCCAATAAATACCAACTTAGATTGACTTCATTTGCAGTTGGGCAACTTCTGCGCTTCACATTGCATTTCAATAACCGCTCTATCTTTTTATCTGCAGATGGGAAATGGCTCGGACCCGTTAGAATTTCACTCTAGCATATCGAAAACCAACGACACCATCTTAGGAGTGTTTTTTTTTCATTGGATCAAGCAAATGGCCATGGTACGTCCTGGGTTCAAGACCATCAGGGCTTGCATGGAGTTTTCCAAACACGTAGGTAGTCTGTTTTTAGCGCCCTCACCCTGCAGCGCCGTAAGGCGCCCGCCTTACTTGCCTTGCGCTAGCGCCAGGCCTGCCTAGAATGCATGAATTACACTGGGATGGGGAGATCATAGATTGTGCTTGCATACTTGGGGTAGGCAAACATTGGCCCTCCAGTTGTGGTGCAACTACAAGTCCCATGAGGCATCGCCCTCCATGTGCAACTGCAAATCCCATTAGGAATTGCAAGACTGCCAGCCACAGGCATGGCTCCCAGAGTCAGAGATATGAAGTGATTTGTAGTGTTAACACAGTTAGAGAGCCGAAGTCTTCTTACCCTATTTTCCGTGCTATATATGTGAAATGCTGCTCTAGCTCTTTATTTTATCACAACGTCTCGCATATTCATCAGAAGAGAGCTTCTTGGCCAATAATCCTGAATGGCGGAGTTGGGACCATTGTGGCAAATTTTTCTTCTTAGTCCGTGTGATAACAACCATACCGCCTGCTCAGTGCTGACTACAGTAATCAAGGTAAACGGGCCGTATGTTCCTGACGCCCCTCCTCTTGTGTCTAGAGGTGTCTTTGCAGTGCCTTCCGGTGTCAGTCAGTACGGCCTGGGCTCGTGGAAGAAGACAGCTGGAAAATCCACTGCTCCGCGACTCTCAACACGTCGTAATCTCCACGACTCCTGACTTCTGAGGTCCTTGGAGTGAGCTGTCATAAATGAAGCGAAATCAAGAGCAGAGCCGAGCAAGGCAGATAAATAGAAACCAGCTAATCTCCCAGAACAGTCTGGTGCCTGTGGCACCAGCTGGGGATGAGCAAAATCGAGAGTTTAGCGCCAACAGTGTGCGCAGCGCTGTACAATATAAGGAAGACATTACAATACAATTCAAGACAAGATGGTAAGTTGTCCCTGCCCCCGAGGGCTTACAGTCTAAAAGGGGAGGGGCCAGTGATACATGAGGAGGTAGCTGTGTGGGGATGAATTGTTTGAGAACGTGATGTTTGAGTGTTCAGGTTGAGGTGGGATAGGCTTCCCTGAAGAGATGAGTCTTAAGGGATCCGAGTGGGAGATAGACGCATGGACGGACTGAAAACGGCATTTCCAGGGAGCGTTGATCTCCTGTGCTCCCTGCTGTGCTCATTGGTTACTTCTGCCAACCTCCATCTTACTACAGGACACAGTAATGACATGGAGATCCATGGGAGGAACCAGTACAAGCTGCTGGGGAACAGGAGATGGACACTCTAGGAAGTGTCAGGTCCTTGCAGAGATTTCGGTGGGGTGATTGCTCTGGATTGGAGGCTTAGTATTTACTTTCTTCATTGCAGGGAACTTAGTCATTTTCATGTTTACAGTTCATTTAGGGTTGCTTTTGTTGGTTTTTAAAGGAGAACTATGGGGTTCAGGGCTTTTCCCCCATAGTTCTCCTTAGGGTAACGGGAGGACACAAAATGGCGTCCTCCCATCACCCAAAGCTCAGTATATAGGGAGCTACAGCTCCCGGTATACTGAGACGCCGCAGCCGGAGCGGATCCCGACATTACTGTCTGGATCCACCCAGCTGCGTGTGTGACAGCTGGCTCTGCCTATCTAGAGCCAGC